GAGTCCCGCGTCGGGCTCCCTGCTCAGCAGGGAGTCTGCTTCTCCCTCTGACCCTCCCCCCTCTCATGCTCTCTCTCTCTTTCTCTCATTCTCTCTCTCAAATAAATAAAGTCTTAAAAAATTTAAAAAAATATTCCACATATGAGTGAAATCATGTATCATTTCTTTTTCTCTGACTTATTTCACTTAGCATAATACTCTCTAGCTCCATCCATGTCGTTGCAAACGGCAAGATTTCATTCTTTTTATGGCTGAGTAATATTCCATTGTGTATATACACCACCTCTTTATCCATTCATCAGTCTGATGGACACTTGGTCGGCTTCCATAGCTTGGCTATTGAAGATAATGCTGCTATAAAGCTATCCCTTCAAATTAGTGTTTTTGTATTCTTTGTGTAAATAGTATTTACTGGATCATATGATAGTTCTATTGTAAAAATTTTTTAATTAATTAACTTATTTAAGTAATCTCTACACCCAGCACAGGGCTTGAGCTTACAACCCCAAGATCAAGAGTCACGCGTTCTCCCAAATGAGCCAGCCAGGTACCTCTCTATTTTTAATTTTTAAAAAGGATTTTATTTATTTATTTATTATTTATTTATTTATGATTTTACTTATTTATTTGACAGAGAGAGACACTGTGAGGGAGGGAACACAAGCAGGGGGAGTGGGAGAAGGAGAAGCAGGCTTCCCGCAGAGCAGGGAGCCCGATGCAGGGCTTGATCCCAGGACCCTGGAACCATGACCTGAGCCGAAGGCAGACGCTTAATGACTGAGCCACCCAGGTGCCCCTAAAAAGGATTTTATTTATTTATTTGCAGGAGTGAGGGAGGGAGAGCACTAGCACATGTGCGAGTGGGGGGAGGGGCAGAGGGAGAGGGGGAGAGTTTTTTTTTAAATTTTATTTATTTATTTGAGAGAGAGAGAGTGAGAGAGAACGCAAGCGTGGGGGGGGCAGGGAGGGGCAGGGGGGAGGGAGAAGCAGGCTTTCCACTGAGCAGGGAGCCTGACACGGGGATCGATCCCAGGACCCTGGGATCATGACCTGACCTGAAGGCAGACGCTTAACGACTGAGTCCCCCAGGCGCCCCCAAGGATGAGAGAATCTTAAGCAGACTCCCTGCTGAGCATGGAGGCTTTCACTTCATGGGGCTTGATCCCCCCAACCCTGAGATCACGACCTGAGCAGAAACCAAGAGTCAGAGATTCAACTGACTGAGACACCTAGGTGCCTCTCTATTTTTAACTCTTTAAGGAACCTCCGCACTGTTTTCCACAGAGTGGCTGCACCAGTTTGCATTCCCACCAACAGTGCAAGAGGATACCCCTTTCTCCACATCTTCGCCAACGCCTGTTGTTTTTTGGCATACTATTATTTTTTTTAAAGATTTTATTTATTTATGTGAGAGAGTGCGCACCTGCATGCACTAGTAGGGGAGGGAGGAGAAGCAGACTCCCCACTGAGCAGGGAGCCCGACACGGGGATCCATCCCAGGACCCCGGGATCATGACCTGAGCCTGAGGCAGACGCTTCACCGTCTGAGTCACGCAGGCGCCCCCTGAGTCACTAGTTTTTTAAGTAAACTCTACCCCCAACATGGGGCTCAAACTCACGACCCCAAGATCAAGAGTCGCACGTGCCTCTGACTGAGCCAGCCAAGTGCCCTTGGGTCACCCTCTTGAGAGTGAGTCTCTGTGTACATCGTTTGGAATTCTTCTGCACAGTAAGGTTGTCCCTTCATCTCCGTTTACACCATCTCCAGCTCTTCATTCACCATGACATGGGTCATTCCCACCTTCCAGGGGAGGCATTTCTTACAACAGGGGGTAGCGGTGGGAGGGTTCTGACCACCTGGTCTGACGCAACAGCCCGCCTCCACCGCGCCCCTCCGGGCTGGCCCCATGCTTTTCGTGTTCCTCTCCCCCCTGTGTGCACTGTCTCCCCGACTTTCAGAGACCAGGCATGAGGATAGGCATTTGGAAGTCTTTGCTGGATCTTAAGTGTGGCTCACAGCTGGACCGGATTGGGGCCAATCCTTTCAATTCCCATTTTTCCCAATTATAAAAACCTCCTGGGAGCCAGTTACATGTGTGTGGTCACTCAGTCAGAAAGTCTAAATCTGGAGCTTACGGGAGGGCGTTCTAAATAACAGCTTTATTGGGGAATACTTCACAAATTCACCCTTTTAAAGTCTACAGCTCAGTGTTTTTTAGTATATTTATAGAGCTCTGCAAACACCACCACACATTTCCATCACCCCTAAAAGACACCCGGTACCCATGAACAGCCACTCTCCTTTCCCTCTCCCCCAGCCCTGGCAACCACGAATCTAGTTTCTATCTCTACATCTAACCTAGTTTCTAGATTGTTCATATAGGTGGACTCATAATATGTGGTCTTTTGTGACTGGCTTCTTTTCATGTAGCATCATGTTTTCCAGGTTCATCCATGCTGTAGCACGAAACAGTGCTTCGTTCCTGTTGGTGGTGGAATAATATTCCGCAGTATGTAGAGACTGCATTTTGTTTATCCATCCCTCAATTGATGAACATTTGAGTGGCTTCCACCTTTCAGCTGTTGTGAATCATACCTCTGGGAACGGAAAGACATTCAACAAGCCTCCAGGTGCCCCTGATGTTTGCTCATGTTTGAGACTCCGAGGCGCTGTCCTGTTGCAGTGTGCAACACTGGACACCATACCAACTCGTCTTGCTCTCTCAACAGTCCAAAGAGGTAAGCAGCAGCACTGCCCCCACCCTATAGTCAGGGACAAGGGCACTCGGGTGATGTAGACACTGGGCTCGGCTAGTTCTCCTACTCATTCCGCCCTGTGTGGCCTCTCTGAACCTGGGGTCTCTCACCAGCTCTTTTCCTTTGCTCTTTTCCAGGCTATGAAAAGCAGGGAGGGAAGTCTCGCCAACTCTGGAACACAAATATTTGCCAGTCAAGAAAACATTCCCCTATCAGTCAAAACCCAGACAAACTGGCACACGTGCTCTGCAGATGCCTGAGGGAGCTTCTATTTTAGGAGAGACCAGGTGGCCTGCAGCTTCTCCCCCTCCCCATACACCCCAAGCTCCTTCTCATTCCTACCTCGTTTGCAGATGAGGAGACTGAGGTTCAAAGTAGTCACTTGCCCTCTGTCACACAGCATCCAGAGGGACCTTTTATTTATTTTTTCTTCAAGTAATCTCCACACTCCACGAAGGGCCTGAACTCAGGATCCCAAGATCAAGAGTAGCTCCCTCCAGGGTGCCTGGCTGGCTCAATTGGTAGACTATCAAGACTATCTTGATCTCGGGATAATGAGTTCAAGACCCAGGCTGGGTGGAGAGGTTACCTAAAAAAAGTCACCAGCTCCACGGATTGAGCCAGCCTGGCTTTGTATTTGTCTTAATAAAATGGCACACAATGAAGGTGATTTCCAAAGCAGATAAATAGCAGACATAGCTTTCTAGGTCATGTGAGTGGGCCGAACTAAATTATGGCCTTATTTTGTCTCCCCAACAACCTTACATGGGGCAGGTTTCAGGGGGCTTAGGGAGGAAAGCATGGGGCTATCTAGGGTGGGGCAGCTTTCCTGTGAGGATTCGGAATGCCGGAATCCTCCTGTCTGCTGTGTTTTTTCGCAGGGCCCAATGATCAAGGGTTCAAATTCAGCCCACTGCCTGTCTCTAACAACCTGCACTAGCAGCTTCACTCCCAGGAAGCTTTCTGGCCCTGGTTAAAATTCAGTTTTCTGTCCTCACCCCAGACCCCTGACTTAGAATTCTCCAGGAGTGCACATGTTTACTTCTTTCTTTCTTTTCTTTCTTTCGATTTTATTTATTTGTCAGAGAGAAAGAGAGCAGAAGGAGGGGGAGCTGCAGGCAGAGGGAGAAGCAGGCTCCCCGCTGAGCAGGGAGCCTGCTCTGGGGCTTGATCTCAGGACCCCGGGATCCTGACCTGAGCGGAAGGCAGACGCTTAATGACTGAGCCCCCCAGGAGCCCCCAGGAGTGTGCATGTTAACACTCAGAATCTTCTAGGGGATTCTGACAGAAGAGAGTGTGAGAACCACTGCTATTAGGTCTTACATAAGCCCACTGTATATAGGGACGGACAGAGAAGCTCATCAGCACGTGCGGCAGCCGTGCAAACCTGCCCCTTCCTGAGTCTCACCTGGGGTGCTTGCCAAAGCACATACTCTTGAGTTTCTGAATCGGAAGATGTGGTGGGGCGGGGGAATCTGTCTTTTTATAGGTCTAACCAGTATGTGAAGAGAGGACAGAAGATTGTGAAGTTAAGGGAAACAAGGGTTCCTCTCACTCCGATGGGGCCTGGGCCCCGTTTGTCTAGCCAGGTCACAGCCATGACCTAATAATAAATGCATTTACTTCTGGCCCGGTGCGGGACCCAGTGTCCACGTGCTCCGAACTCCACCCCCAGCTTGACTCAGTGTAGGCGCCCGGGACAGGTGAAGGGACGCGGAAGCGCGGAGACAGCGTCAGGAGCGCGCGCAGCGCCACGCCCACGAGAGGAGCGCGGCGGGGCGGGGCCGGGCCTGTAGCTTGGGGGACCGAGCGGAGACGCTGTGGGGCGTGATCTGCTCAGCCTCGTTGGCGTTCGCCAATCCGTGGGCTCGAAGCGGCCGCGGTCCCCGCCTCCCCCCGCCACGGGGAGAGTGCCGCGTTGCTATTGGCTGGCCAATTGGCTGGCCTATTGCTATAGGCTTCCGGCGCGGGGGGGGCGGGCCCCGCGTGTTGGCGGGAAAGCTGCGGCCACGGCCCTTCCCCCCCCGCGATGGTGAGGGGCAGTCGGCGGCGACGTGTCCCGGGCGGGTCGCTGTGGCCAGCATGGACGCGGCGGAGGTGGAGTTTCTGGCTGAGAAGGAGCTGGTCACCATAATCCCAAACTTCAGCCTAGACAAGATCTACCTCATCGGGGTAAGGGCTGGGTCGGCCATTTGCCTCAGGCCCCAGCGCCGGGAAGGGGCGGTAGTGTTGGGGCTTCTGCGGACACCCCGACTCGCCGAGTGGTCAGGGTTGGGGGGCGGCACCCCGAGGGGTCGGGGGGAGTGCCGGCTTGGGGGACGCCGAGTGGGAGTACGGGGTGAGGGGACCCTGCGTGGTGGTGC